TTAAACTCAAATTCTAGGCTATTAATAATAATAATAACTTTATTTTGTTAGGATGATCCATTTAAAGGATCTGATCCATTCAGTAATTTTTCTATAGGTTCTGGAGTTAATAGTAAGTATTTATTTTTATTAATTCAAAATCTTGAAGTTTATATTTTAAACTAAATTATTTATAACAACAAGGATCTACACTTCACTGATCTAAAAAATTTAAAATTAGAAAAAGGATGGTTAGATAACCATACAATAATTTATTAGTTTGTTATTTTAAGATATTTGGTTTAAATTTAATTTAGATTTCCATAATTTTTCGGCTAATGAGAGTTAGCATATCTTTCTCTCATACTAACTGAAACACTGAGTCAGAGCTGTCCATGATGGACAAGGCTTGAAGACTGTTTTATATCTCATGATTCATTGATGGATCCATTTCAATAAGTCAGCTGTTTTTTTATAAGCATTTATTTCAGAATTAAAAATATAAAATATTCTTCATTATATTGTTCAGGTATCTTTTAAAATTAGCATTACATAAATTACTGCCATTGAAAAAGTATTCTTAGTTTTTATTTATTTAAAAAATATTTTGTTTTAAAATAAATGAATTAATGAAGTTGCTAATGGTTATAATAATTACGTGTTTTAAATTATCTAGAACTTTAATGTTATAAAAATACATATGAAAACTTTAATTTAAAAATATATATACAAACTTTAATAATTGATCAGGCATGTCAAACAGGTCAATTATGGCATCATTTTTGGTTGATTATGATGCCCTATTAAAATGAGAAAAACATTGTAATTTCCATATTTTTCACCATAAAATCCTTTAACTATAATATCACTGTGGATTCTTATCACAAGATAACAAGTGATTGTCTTTGTTTTTGATTATAGCACAGTAAAAACAGCATATGCAGATACTGAACAAGAAACATAAGGTAATGGAACAAGCTCTTTGTTGTTATTTTAACAAATGTGTTGTATGCCCTAAACAATTTCAGTTATGTGCAAAATGAATGTGTCAAAGAGAAGCAAAATATATGAATTGTAAGGCTGTGTAGTTGGAGTCAAAAGCAAACCTTCAGTTACTGGAGTCAAAGCTGAAAGTTTGTCCATTTTTACTGACTTCAACTTCTAATAAATTTAAATTTTAATATAAATAATGCATGTTAAAATTTATCATCTCAGATAATAATATGATTAAACTATTTTTTCAGCATATATTTTATATTCAAACAATATTTTAACCTTAATTAAAAAGGATGAGAACTGGTAGAGAAAGATGTTCTTGATTTTCTTTTATAGTTTCTTTTTGTCATATCCTATTACATGGTGTTTTAACATAAATATACCCTTGTTGTTTTTTTCTTAAGTTTTGGCTTTTCTTTAAGCTTTAAGGTTACTAGATGTTTATAATTTTTTAATAAATAAAATAAAAATTGTCATAGCTTTTAGACTCAAATTTTAAAAGATTATGGTTCTAAATAGTGGTCTGATGATTATATTACAGTGATGCCTTGCATGTTGCATGTTTTCAATGAATATAAAAAGTATATAATTAGTATGTTTTTATTTAGTTCCTATATTGATACATAAATAAAGGAGTTGGATTCAGATGTACCATAAATTGAGAAGTCAAAAGCTTTTGTGTTCTGACTTCTGAGCTCTGATTGTAATATGAATAGAAATAAAATTCTTTTTTGTTGTGGTGAATGATAAACTTTGCTGTTTAGTTTATGCCTTTATCAAAAAAAGGTAATCTGAAACATCAACTATCAGGCTTGTGCACAGGATTTTTACAAAGGATTTAAAATAAAGGAGTTTTCTTGTGATATAGTTTATTAATTTTTGCAATCTATATGAATAAAAATGTAAATGTTCGTTTGTACAAAATCTTAAATCTCTGAAAGTTCTTCATCAATTGCTCTGAAACTTTGACACAATGTTGCATTTGAATACGCTCATGTTTTTTTTTTTTTTTTTATCAAAAATTTCCCAAAGTGTGAGGGAGAAAATTAAGGATTAACCTGAAGAACAGCTTCTACTGTACTATTTTAGATGTGATTTTTTTCTTCAGAAAAATGATCAGATTGAAAAAGTTCCTTTTAAGCAGTAAAGTGATTCTCAGCAATAAGGGGTATGTGTTATATAACACTGTTAAAAATTAAATAATTACAATGGTTGTTGAAATAATGAATATAAATGGTGTTATGATACCCCACACCATCGTTCCAATTATACATGATGGAGCTTGCCTCTTTAGAGCAATAATCTTTGTTTTATATGACACTCAAGTGTTGGCCAAAGAAGTACATGCAGAAATAGTGACTTACATGATGAGTCACTGGGATGATTTTTTGAGGGAGGATTATTTCTATCAAATTGCAAAATCCGCATGGGCAAAGCTGCAGGTAACAGTTAATATATAGAGTAACATATGGTAGACTTGGAAGGAACAGGTACAAAATAAATATAAATTATATACAATTGGGAATATAGCCAGACATTTCTAGTATTATCATCTGAATTGTTGATGGTTTGCATAGACTTGTGTGTGATGGCATTGGTAGGTAGGTTACCGTAAAAATGAGGAAATCTAAGAACATTAGGAACACATTATTGTGCAAGGAGCTACCATATCAATATGGCAGCTCTATGCATGTCATATGCAAATCGGTGATACACATGACAATGCTTAGGCTGACAGGCCAACATTAAACTCAAATTCTAGGCTATAAGCATAATATTAGTGATTTCTAAAAGTATTTGACTTGTCTTGAAGAGGGATGTGTAATATCTGAAATGCATAGCATTAAAGGTTTATAAAAAAGTTGATTTTGTAGTCTTGGTCTTTAGTAAAAAATGGTTATAGGAGGCATAACATAAAATTAAATGATATTAGCCAACATGGTGTTTTTTTAAATAAAAAAAATACAAAGTTTTTCCAATATTAGTGTTGGCCTGTTTTCTGTTTAATCCAGTGGTCAACTGCTTGTGACATTGTTTTTTTTTAATATGCTTTTCATTTACTTTTAAACTTGTTTGGAGAAACAGTGAGAGATGGTATAACAAATGGGTTTAGTGTATTTAAATTTAATTTTCATAACCTATTTACACTTAATCTTAACACAGATGTGTTTTTATAAATTTTATTTTTATAAACTGTTCATATTTAATGTTAAAATTATTAAAAATACTTCTCATTATGATGAAACAATAATCATTATTAACTGTAAGTTTAGAGATGATTTTAATAATGAAATAATAATATAAGTGAGTCTGAGTCATTCATAATCATTTTTAACTATCACTTCTTTGATTTGTCACTCTCTCAAAATATTTTTTTTTTTTTTATCTTCTTAGGTGTCATTTCTTTTTTATGTTATTTTTCTGAAAAGATTTGACTTAAATCAATGTAATAGCTTTCTAAAATGAAATGAATTTGATTTATATAAATGTAGTTTGCCAATACAAAAATAAATATTATGGGAAATGATAATTTTTTTTGTTTATTAGTTATTACAGAAATTCTAAATGAACAAAAGTGCTAATATAATTTCATTTTTATTTCCACAATTTAAAAAATTTTTCTTTGATTTCAATAAATCAATTCTTAGAATTTTCTGATAAATTTTTATGTTTAATTGATACTTTTCTATAATCAGAATATTTTTATGAGTAGAATTGCTATAACAAATTTTTTGTAATTTAACAGGTACCAAAGATCCATTTGATCCATTTGGAGATTCATCTGATTCCAAAGTAACAAATTCACAAAAGGTTTGCAATATTTATTACATATATTATTCATGAAAAATAATATGTATTTAAGATAGTAATGTATAAGTTTACATATTACTATCTTAAGTGTATATATAAGATTCCAATAATAAAAGAGCACAAAGTTTTAATTTACTCATTTCATAGGCAATAATCAGATAAATATAAACATGTATTTTATATTTAAGAAAACATAAATATAGAACAAACAAAGAATACTTAAAATAGAATAAATATAATATCTGTATCATTAACTTTATTGTACAAATGTAATTTAATTGGATATAATATGTTCCTAAACAAAATTAACTTCTCTTTATGCTCATCTTCTTGCTTAAATATTTAGGACTTATTGTATACCAATAATAAGGTTTTTAAATTGTATTATTAATTATTTTACTAAAAAAAATAATTCTATGATTTCATAGTATTTCAGGAGAGACATTGGTTCACTCCCCTTTTGATGTCTCTCCAAAATACATCTTGAAATATAATGAAATTGTGTTATTTTTTTGTTTAAAAAATAGCTAATAACACTACAATTTAAAAGACTTATTATTGGTGTAAGACAAATCCTAAATATTTAAGCAAGAACGGAAGCTTAAAGAAGAATAAGACAAAAAACTTAAAACAAGTCAAAAAATTAACTTTCACAAATAAGGAAATCAGATTGAGAAAATTTACATGACTAGCTGATTATACAGATTCTACATTCTTTTATAAAATACTGATAATATTTTATGTATTATTATACTTTTTATATAATTATGAACAAAGCCACATTACTTGCAAGTGCTTCCATCATGAAATCAGCTGATTCATGCCAAACTATTTTTGTTTTTATATAGCAGACTAACCTGGCAGAACTGATTATCAAAGTTATTACTTTTTACCTTAGTTCTTCTACTTTATAATGTTCTTTTTGAGACATAAACTTTAACTTAAATTGAATATATAATTTTACAACACTGAACAAGAAGGAAACAGATTAAATTTAACATTGAACATTTAAACAGAATTTACAAAATTAAATACATCTATTTAAATTTGGCTTTTCTAGACACCTTTCAACTAATTAAAATAAGAATATTGCAATCTAGTCTTTATACAGTTGAATCTGTCTATCTTGATTCTCATAGGAATAAGAAAAAAAATAATAATCCAAGATAGACATGTTTTGAGATATAGTGGTTTCTACACAATGAACAATAATGGGTGAGATTGGAGGTATGGTATTGTATTAATACAATAACAAGTATAGTACATATCTATATTAGGCATAAATAAAACATTTTTGACATATCTTAACAGAAATAGTTGTCAGTAGTTTCTGACTCTTGATTTTCTCTCAACCAATAACAAGCCAAACTCTTAGCCAATTGGAGAAAAGCAACATTATTTGTAACTGTGTATACTGTATTACAAGAGATATTTCTCAGCTGCAATTTATGCTATCAAATGCAGTTGCCAAGCTTTGAAATTGTAATTGACACTTCAGTCTATAATTTGAGATATAGAGGTTTTGGAAGGAAATTATTTGACATAAACATGGAAATTATATTGAATTTATGCTGAAAATGCAGGGGGAAAAATTTTCAAGATAAATGTGTTTGAGATAGATGGGTTCATCTGTATCTGTATTTTTCTAATACATGTGAACAGGATGGCAGTGCCCCCTTGGGTCAGATCTGACACCACCTGTGATTTTTTGGCTCACAGGAACTTTTGAACCGCACAAGCGGCCACATATGTAGGACTTTCTAAAAGTCCTACATATGTGGCTGCTTGTGCGGAGTAAGAGATGAAGGAGGGAAATTTTAGAGGCAGGTAAGCCCAGAAGTTATGCATTCCACTATGCATTTAACCATTAAACAACAAACATTTATTTTTCTAGTTTATAAAAATTTACAAAGGGAATAGAATTAGTGGGAGAGTCTAATCCTAAAAGCATACTGAACAGAGAGAGAGAGAGAGAGAGAGAGTTTACAATTTCTTATGCAAGTTGATAAATACCTGGATGGTTAGTGTTGACAATTGTTGACTTCTCAAGGAGAGAAGGCTTGGTCCGGATAATTCTTGATTTGGGAGTAAAGTTCAGGTACTTGTTCGTCAAGGGAAGCGGTGAAAGTCTGGTGGAAAAATTTGACAAGAGTTCAGAAAGAGCAGCTTTGAGGACAGAGAGGTGGTTAACAGACAAAAATTAGGCAGGCAAATTCTGTCTCATCATCTTTCCTCTTGTTTTTATTCAATGTCTTCTCCCTGCCACTCTAATGCCCATATTTGGTAAAGTTGGCAGTTGCTCCAATTCATGATTTTTTTCATTTTCCTTGATGAGTAGTTTTTTTATTGGAAACTATGTCACCCACGGAGGAAGTATTGTCAGTGGGAAAATGTTATGAAGTTTCTATACTCTATTTGTGAAATGAAATAACTTGAACAAAAGATAAATAAGACTAAATTTGTCAAATTTACACTAGCCTGAGTTCTCACTTATGTGTATAGTACATACAAATTACTTAGCATAAAATCTTCATGACATTTTTTTTTCTGCTACAAAAAAGAAAATGAAAAGAATTGGTGGACTATGGACAAAATAATGTTTATGACAAACACTACATGAAAAGTTTAATGATAATTCACATCATTGTTTGGTACATTTTACTGCAATGCATACCCTTTCTTGACAGCCACACACCTAGCTTTGTTTTTTATTCTGTATAGAGTATAAAATTAAGTAGAAAATTGAAAACAATACAGTGTAATATTAACGTTAACTATCATTTTTTAAAATCTGTTGAACTTGTATAAGAAAAAACTTAATCAATCTAAATTTTTACAGTAATAGATAAAAGCATCTAATATTCAAATTAAAAATTGACATTCTGTTCTCAGTAGGTGGATCCTGTGCATGAACAACTAACTATAAAATAGATAATTGGTTTTCATTTACTAATTAAGTAGATGTGATTTTGTAAGGTATAACATAGTTTTTGAAGAAATTAATTTCATCTAGGAAAGGAAATATTGCACATGCATTTTTATGATTTTATTGTAATTGTAGCTAACAGTAATGCAATAATTATAAAATGAAAGCTTTGAAACAAAAAATGTGATATTGCATTGTAATTATGTTAGCTAATCATTTATTTTGTATTTTCTGTTTTTATATATCAGGTTAGATTCAGTGTAAATGTTGGTTGTTATTAAATCAATTGCAATTAATCCAGTAGGAGTATATTGTTATTTTTAAAATTAGATTATTGATGTTATGTCTGAACATTTTATAGATAGTCAATTACAGAATTATCTTTTCAATTTTTTAAAAATCTGACTCTCAATGCATTCATTGCCTTTTGACATTCATGTATATAATGTATTCACAATATGTTAGTGATAAATTTTATGCTTATGATTGCATATGTTTATTGATTATAATATCATGTTAGTTGTTTTTCAATTTCACTTTTTTTATTCATTGATCATTTTGAGTTTATTTAGTCTATAATTAGTTTTGAGGTTTTTTAATTTTTCATTTCTAAAAGAAAAAAAACATTATTGCTGTCTTATAAATAATATATAATGATGCATAAAATTTAATCTGAATTGCAACTGTATAGTCATTCAATTTCTTCAGATTTGCTTTTAGTAAGTTTATTCAGTTTTATCAAAATAATGAAAATTTTCTTTTTGTGTGTATCTGCTAAATTTGTGTAAAAACCATATAGATTTTTTTTTCTTTTCGTTTTGCAAAATAAAAAAGCTGGAGCATGCAGTTATGAAAATTAGGAACTTCTACACATACAGGACATTTATACCAGCATACCTGAAATTACTCATTTTTACTAATGTTCTCACTTGTATATATATATATATAACAGGCATCTTAAGCTATATATAATGCAGAACAAAATGGACAAATTAAAACTAAACAAGATTTTATGAACACATTAAAAATTCAGTTTAAAATAATTTTAAACTGAATTTGAAATTTGAGGCATGCTGGTATAGGTGTCTTGTAAGTGTTTAAATTAATATATATCAGTTTTGGAAAGTTATTGATTAAGAACTTCAGAAAATAAGTGAAAATGAATGTGCATCTTTGTATCTTTCTGAGGGACAATATTTTTGATTACATTGTAGCATGATATTGTTTTATGACAGAAGAATTCTCTCCCCTCTCATGTTCTCTTCAGATTTACTTTGGCATAATCAGGGAATGATATATAAAATTAAGAACATATGTTAGTCAGTAGGGGCTGGTTTAATAGTTTTTTTTTATCTTGTTGAATATATAATCAAAAAATGATTCTGTTGTTTTTCTATAGGAAAAACTGTTTGGATGAAAGAAATTAGAATAAAACTTCATAAAAACCAATATATAGATTTTGAAATATAAAGAATAATAATTACTGTTATTTTAGAAAATAAAATTTAAAAAATTCTGCTAATATACCCAAGCTGCATGATACATATTATTGATATATCTGATCTGCACATCAAAGTAGGGAAATGATGGATTTATGCCTTTTATAAGTATTATCAAAAGAATAGTAAAGCATATTGCTGATATTTTCTTTTCCTGTCAAATATTAAATATCTCAAAACAACAGATATGAAGGTATTAGATAATATAAAGTTTAAATATTTTCAGTAAGTTTATCCATTCATAGTATTTATTAATTTATACTTTCTTTTGGACAAATAATAAATTTTTTTTCTTTAAAATATATAGATTATTTTTAGATTTATCACTTTTTATTCATTTGCATGTCAAAATTACATCTTATACATGCAATTGATAGTGGTAAAATGTTTCCTTTTATAACAACCTTAATTAATTTATCAATAAACAATCAATTCTCAAAATATATATCATAGTTTGTAAAACTTAAGTTTTAAACTGTTTTAAGTTGTATTTTTTTCTTATTATCTAAAGAAAAAAAAATACAACTTAAAACAGAGAAATCACTTTATCTTGATTAGAATCTAAATTATAAGAA